AGGGAGGACACAAGGACACAAGGACACAAGGACACGATGCAGTGACATCACCCGGCAGGTGTTAGAGCATGAGCCGAGAAGATCTGGTTCACTGCCGGGGAGGGAAGTTTAGGGAAGTGAACTGGGGAACTCCTTTGGAAGTTGTGGGGATAGAAGCTTCATTTTATTGTTATTGTGGCTGAACACTTTCCTAGTTTCTGAGCCACTTACGTCTTCTTTTGTGAACTAACTTGTTCAAGACCCTGTCCAATTTTTCAGTTACAGTACTGGTTGTTTTACTATCGATTCGTCAAAGTTCTTTCTATATTAAGGAAGTTACTTTTCTACCTGAATTGTTTGTATGCCCTTTGATTTTGATTCTGTTTTTGACATACAACCATTAATACTTTTTGTATAAAACTCACTCTTGTGTCTTCCACAGCTTTAATGTTCAGAAAATCACAGTTAGGTCATTATTTCCCTATATTTTCTTCTAATTATGTTTTTGGCTTGATTTCTTTATAACTTATAACTCTTTATTCTGTCTGGAATTTATTTAGTATGTGGTGTGAGTCAAGGAGATAATTCTTTTCCCAAACAGTTAATTAGTTGACCCTGCAAAAATGTTTTCCTTTTTCTCATCGATTTTTTAATATCTTGCACATATTTCAATTTTTATGTGCATTAAGGCTGTTCCTGCAGTAGCATTTCATGTTCTGCCTGTCCACTCTTGGACCACCTCCACATGATTTTCATAAGCGTCATTTGATGATTCTGTGTAGTATCTTGTAGGATCAGATGACTACATTGACTACCTTTTAAAGCTTTTGCATTGTCTATAACTGCCTATTTTTCCACTTAACTTTAGGTATCATTTTACTAAGTTTAAAACAGGTCATTGGACTTTTGATCAGAATTGTATTAAGCTTATAAATTAACTTTTCAATAACTTTTCCAAAGGTTAATATTCTAAATTAACCTTTCAGTAGTCTTTCCACTCAATATTATGCTATGTCTCTCTAATCAGATTTTTTATCCCTCTGTAAAAGTTATTTTCCTACAGTGCCTACACATTCTTTATTATTTATTTGTATTTATTATATGCATTTTGTAGTTATAAATAGTACTGGTTTTCTTTATATTTTCATCTGTCTCTGGCATACAGAAATGTTATTGATTCTGTATATTTATTTCGCACTTGGCTACTTAACTGCAATTTCTTATTAGTTCTAATAACTTTATAATTGATTCCCCTGGGTTTTCTTGGCATATTAACATATCATCCACAGACCATATGTGTGCTTCTTTCTCATTTCCTTTCCTTGTGTCGCAGGGGCTGGCTCTTCCAATAAGGCGTGAAATCTCAGAGGTGATAGTAGCATTTCCATCTCATTCCTGATCTTAATCAGGTGTTTCACCATAAGTACCATGTAGGTAATTGGTCCAAAATGATGCTTTATTATGGTTAAGGAAATAATCTTTTTCCTAGTCCCGAGTGCTTATTTAATCAGGTTTACATGTCTTATTTTATTAAATGCCCATTTAGCATTTATTCAGAAGACCTTAACTTTTTGCTCTTTTACTGGGATACTTTGTATTAAGGCATTTTTAAAAATATTAGTCATTTTAGCCATTAACTGTCCTTTGTCAGTTAATCGCTAACATGTGCTTTAAAAAAATATTGAGTTAATGGCATTAGCATCATAGTTAAGTGGGTGGACCTGACATGGACAGCTTACATTGAATCCCATTTGCAAGTAACGGTGGGCCTTGGGCCCTCTCCCTTAACTTCTCTTTGCCTTACTTCTTCATCTGTAAAATGGAGATGATTTTGATAGTGTCCACCTTTAGGGCTGTTGTGAGGATTAAACACGTCATTATATGTAAAGTTGCTAGGAGAGTGTCTAACCACTCACCAGATACAAACAGTGTGTTAAATTATTGAGAACTTACCATGTGCCTGTAACTGAGCTTGGTGTGTGGCTTTAAAAATGGGAAAACTCCCTTGTGGTCTGCTTTCTCATGGAGCTTACGGCCTGGCAAGGAGACAGATATTTATGAAATAATCACATAGAAACATGGAAATTTGCTTGTATGATGAGTTCTACCAAGGAGAGGTTATGGTGTCATGAGAGCATGTAATAGGGGGTTTGTCATAGTCAAGGAAAGACACTTGACCACAGCCTGAAAGATAAATATGCCAAGAAGGAGGGAAGAGTGTTCTAGGCAAAGAAAACAGCATATGCAAAGGTCCTGTGGCTGTGCAGTAAGAGGGTGTAGCAGATACAAAGGACTGACAAGGGTGGGGTTTGATTGGAAACTAGTGGACACCAGTCTAAGAACCACTAGCGGCCAGACCATGCAGAGACCCTCATAGACCTTAAGAAATTTTTTTCTTACTGAAGAACAGTGAGGAGGTCCCCAAGCAGCAGCATCACTGCAGCACCAGGGAGTGAATTAGAGGAGCAGACACTGTTCCCACCCAGATGCTGTGCAAGATCAGAATCTATAGTTCAGCCTTGTCCCCAGGCAGTGTGCATGCACTGTGAGGTCTGAGACCTCTGGCCTGGGAGGACCTGTTTCCAGAAGGAGGGTGTATGTGAACACCAGTGTTAGAGGCAGCTGAGAGAGAACTCTGTTAAATGAAGACTGAAAAGACCCTCTGGACCCATCAGTGACCTCAGTACACCTGTTTGGGTAGGTCACCTGGACCAGAAAGCAGAAGCAGCAGGGCTGGAGAGGAAAATAAGGAAATGGAGACAAAAATTGTAGAGAGGTTGTGTTTTCTAGAAATATGACTGTGAAGAGGAAGACAGACATAAGGCTGGAGTGAGAGGAGGAGGAGAGGGGGGAATTGCTTTCTTATGATAGAGTCTTGAGCACATTTAAAATAGGAAGGTTCTAGTGGAGAGGAAACGCTTAAACATGTGTACCCTGTAGAAGAGAGAAGCGTGCGTAAGGCTCATGAAGAGGAGGGAGGGATGGGGTCCGAAGGGCACACGGAAGGATTATGTTGATATAAGAACGTCCAAATCTATAGATGATTTTTTCAAAAGCTTATTTGAGCCAGAGGATATGCCTTGAAACAAGATCTCAACAGACTTAGAAAATGCTTCCTAGACCGACAGTTGGCAGCTTTTATGCATTGGGATTAGGGAGGAAACACAAGGAAGATTACGTGAAGGCGGGAGAAAGCCAGGCGGGGATGGGATTATAGGGTAGTGAGGATGATGCTCTCTGGAGGGTGGGTTTTCTTCTAAGGGGTCTGAAAAGAGGTGTTTCAAGGGCCTGTTAACCTAGATGCACAGCAACAATGGGCAAGGCTTGCTTAAGGCAAAGAGAAACCTTTTATTAGAGAAGTTACATGCCTGGGGCATGACTACCCAATATAACCTGCCCATTTAGGAATTTATGATCAGATCACCCTGTGAGGTTACTTTCCAGTGAACCCCCTTTCTTGTCCATAATGTTAAGATCTAAGGAGAGGTGGTTCCTCTGAGGAGGAAGGAAGACAGCATGGGGCAGGCTAGATGGGTTTGGAATTGGGAAGCTGGGATGCCCACTGAGGGCTTTTATTTTCAGTGGGGAGTGAGAGGAGAGGACAGTAGCTAAGATGAGGGGCCTAGAGAGTCAGGAGGCTGTGGAATATGGAGAAGGTTTGACGTCGTCACTCTGGCATCTCCTGTAAAGAGGACCTCCACTTCTGCTTGGTCTGGTTGCCTTTTTGTTCACTCTCTCTGAGCCTTGGTGCTCTGCCTCACAGAGTTCTGATGCTTGGCCACAGCGATGCACATTGTATCACCAGGCCAGGGCGCCGCACAACAGGCACACTCAGTGTCAATCACCCATCTGCCCTCCCTCTGTGACGAGCGTGGGGCTGGCCCAGAGGACATACTTGGAACAGTGGGTTCATGATCCTCTAATGCATTGCTCCTGTCTCTCAGGAAGCTTCTAGGACTTCTCTTGGCCACACTGAACTGCTCCCTTTCTCTCTCACAGGCCAGAACTGCACGTTCCAACTGCAGGGCCCCAATGGGACAGTGGAGAGCCCAGGGTTCCCATACGGCTACCCCAATTATGCCAACTGCACATGGACCATCACCGCAGGGGATCAGCACCGGATCCAGCTCGTCTTCCAGTCCTTCGCCCTGGAAGAGGACTTCGATGTCCTGTCGGTGTTTGATGGCCCACCCCGGCCGGAGAACCTGCGAACCAGGTACCACCTGCCCTCTTCCCCACAGCAGGTAGCTGGGCCCTGAGCCAAACTCACTGAGAGGAGCAACCCACGGGAGTGAAAGATTTATGGTCACCAGCAAAGACCTCTGTTTTTATGAGGTCCGCCCTCAACTCTTCTGCTTTCTTTACATTTCCCAGTTCCTTTCTCCTGCTTAGCAGTACCCAGTAGGCAGGGTTGATGAGTTGGATATTTGGGAAGACGCGACAGAAGACATAAAAGGGTTATAGAGGAATTCAGGTTTTCCTATTGAAAACCGATTTTGTGTGCATTTGGGTGTTATGTACGAATATCTGTTGGTGTCTATTCTCTGCACACACAGAAATTAATTTTCTCCCCTTGGGCCCAGGAGATGTGCATTGAAAGCTAATAATAGTGGCTGTGTCTTGCATCTTATACTTGGAAACCATTAATACTTTGTTGGAATTTGCCTTGCATTGTGTGGCCTTGGCTGTGGGTATAGAATCTGAAATTTGGGGAAGATCCCACTCTCTCAAACCCCACTGCAGTTGATGGATGAGAAAACCACGGAGAAGGTGAGACTGCTTTCCTGTAACCTTGACCTCACAAGTGAGAGTTCTCATGGAGGAAGGAGGCAGGGATGGAAGCTACAGCCTCTGTAGAAGGGGCAGGCTTTTCTGGGCAGAGGTAAAGGCTCCAGAGTTACTGCTCTGAGGTTTGGTTGATGGTGGCCTGCCCTGCTCCACTGCAAGCGTTGTCCTGGTCCTGCCACCAGGCTTTGGGCTCCTGAGGAAGCCAAAGGGTTAAAGGCTTACCAGCCAAGTTCTGGGGAGCTTGGGGTGCTAATTAATGATATACTATTGAGAGTGTCCCTGCCAAGTCTTTAACCCCAAGGCTTTGTTTAAGATGCCAGGAGCAGGGTCACAAACAACATTTACAATTCAGCCCCAGCCCTCTTCTCTCTGGCAGCCTGCCCTCTCTGGGCAATGCAGAGGTGAGGCTGCCAAGCCTGCAGCAGAGGTGGGGGTGTCTTGGGATCCCGCTGACTAGAGTTTCTTTTAGACAAAACTGGGCATATCTGTCTCCCCTGATGCTCAGCAGGGTTTGGCACACAGTGGGTGTTCAGTGAAATGTGGGTGGAGGGACTGGAGTCCCCTTCCCTCATTCATTCCACAAATATTTCATGAGCACCTATTATGTTCCAGACACTGGCCTGGGTGCTGGGGATATAGCACTTACAGAACAAATCATTGTCTTCATAGATGTTATATGCTAATGGGAGAGACAGGCATGGGCTTGAATATGTGAATTTAATGTTCAAGGATATCAGGGCCAGAGATAGTAAATTGGGAGATTGGGACTGAATAGTACTTAAAACCATGATACTGGATGAGGTCACAGGGAACGAGTTGTCTCATTAGATGCTGAGCTTAGGTGATACCGTGTAGGGCATCTGAATGGACTTTTGATGAATGTATGTTGAAAGATAAAATGTCCAATCAGGCTAATGGGGTGCTTGGTTGGGGTATGGATGCTGGAGGCAAACTTTCCAACACTGCCTACTGGGGTTATTCCAGCTTTCCTTGCTCTTAAGGCAGGATCCACACATATATGGTCAGACCTCTGCTTCCTGACGTTTGGGTTTGCTGGCTCTGAGTGAAGTGTGAGAAGACTCACCTGAGGTGGGGATTGCTCTTCCCTGGAAGGTGGGGGTTTCGTGACCCAGGGAGGTGGTCCTAGAAGAGGAGAACCCTTGTTTGTGTACCTGGCTCCCACTCAGCCCACTCTGGCCAACCAGCCATGTTTGAGGAGCAGGCTCCCAGGGTTTGTGCCTTCACTGGGTCATTTTCCTTTGGGTTCCTCCTCTGTCATCTTCCTGATCTGCTCCTGTCAGTTTATTTCAGAAGTAGCCAAGGACATCCAGTCTTAGCCGAGGGGAAGGCTGGAGGGAGGGTTCTGCCTCTTAGCAACCCTGGAGCAGAGGAGCTCACACCGTGGGGAAAACTTAGAGGGGAAATGATCCCAGAGGGACCATCCAAATAGCATGGAAAATGTGCTTCTCACAGGTTTTGGAATGATACTCCTTTGGGTGTGTAAGGGGGGATAGCGAATATGTTTGGTGGGGACCCTTGGATCTTTGTGAATTTTTTATTTTCTCGCATGGTTATTAATCTGCTAGGATTTGTTTAGTCATGAATCAGTTTCTATATGTATGTTTGTCTAGGAAATAATCTATTTTATGGAGATTGCCAAGGGTATCAGTGTAGAATTGCATAGTTTTCCCACGAAACACTTCTATCCCTGTGGTATCCCTGATCACATCCCCTTTCGTGCACCTGCCCCTGTGCCTTTGTATTTTTCTTTTTACTCGTTTCTCTTGCCAGAAGTTTGCCTGTTTTATGGTTCTTTTTAAAGTTCCAACTCTAGGGCTATCAATTTTTCTCTTTTCCCTGTTATCTAACATACTGATTTCTGTTTTTATCTTTATTCATTCTTTTCTCCCACTCACCTTAGGCTGATATTGCCCTTATGTTGATTTTGTGAATTGAATTAGTTTTATTATTTCTTGTTTGATAATGAAAACATTAAGAAGCATTTTCCCCTCAGTACAACTGTGACCATATCCCATTAACTTTGATGGATAGTCATTATTGTAGAAAGATCTCTAATTGCAATTTTGTTCCTTCCTTGACTCTAGGGATTTTTTCCTCAAAATTCCCAGTAAACTTTTTTATACTTAAGAAAATTATTATCTGGTTGAATTGCATTATGATCAGATTATGATTTCTACTTTGGAGAATTTGTTGCCTTTATTTTCATAGTGTAAGATCATTTTTATGTAAATGTCCTATGAGTACTTGGAAAGAACATAGATTCTTTGGTTGAAGGGTAAAAAATTTGTTAGTATTACTTAATTTTTCTAATTTCTTCTTTATTGTCTAAATGATAGTTGTAGAGGGTAAGCAATGTGTTCTTTTTACATTTTGCTATTGTTTTTGTCAATTTCTCCTTTATTTCTAAGTTTTCATTTTATACATTTTGACGCTGTACTCTTTAGCTTGTATTTTTAAACATTAGATCTTCAGAGTGAAATATATATATTTTTTCAATATAAAAATTATGTTTATCCCCAAATGTTTTTGCCTTAACTTCTACTTCTATACTAATATTACCACCTTTATTCTCTTTTAGGTCTGCATTTACTGAGTCCCTCTTCACCAATTTCTCTATTTTTAATATTTCTATATCATTGTTTTAGGTGTGCCTCGTAGCACAAGATATAGCTGGATTTTTATTTTTAAATCCTTCCTGAGAGTTTGTATTCTTTAACAGGAAAGTTTATTTCACTCACTTTTTTTTTTTGTGATAACTGAGATATTTGCTCTTTTGTATAATATTTAATACTCCATGTTTTTAAGCTTCCTTACTGTTATTCCCTTTACTCTGTCCTCAGGGTAAGTTTTCTTTGCCTTTTCTGTGATTTTTATTCTAGTGGTTAAAGCTATTTCTTCAGAACACATTTTAAGTTGTATTTCTCTGTCAACATTGCTTCTAGTTGGCCTTTTTCTTAATTGGGTCTTACTGGCACACCTTGTAGAAATTTCTTAGCGATTGTAGCATGTAGGAACTTCTCCCTTTCCTGGTTTCCAGTGTGGACATGTAGTCTCTCGTTTTACATGCTTTAGGCTATTTCCCTGAGAATTAGGGGTTAGGTTGGAGGGGAGCGGAACATACTGTCTTGCCTCTCCATCTTGAACTGGGTGTTTCTCTTAAGGTTTTTATTCTTGTTGATGCTGTTGTGAAAAGAATTATTTTTAATTTAATTTTCTTTTTGAATTACTCATTGATAATATCTAGAAATACACATTATTTTTCTATGTTGATCTTGTGTCCCATGACCTCGCTGACTTTGTTATTAACAGTTATAATAGTCTTTATGCCTGCGAATGAAAAGCTCTAGTTCTTTTACAATCTAGTTGCCTTTAATTAATTTTTTTTTTTTTTTTTTTTTTTGCCTAATTGCAGTGGATAGAACCTTCAGTACAATACTGAATAGAAGCAGTGAGAGTGGACATTCTTGTCTTGTCCCTGATCTTAAAACATTCAGTCTTGCTCATCAAGTGTGATGTTAGTTGTAGGTGTTGGGCAGGGCCGTTCTAATGAAGGTTTTTAGTGGAGGATTTTGGCACAGTCTAGCTGTGGTGTGGAAAACACTCTGGGGTGGGGGCCAGACTGGTGACTGCCGGGCCAGGCGAGAGACTGTGGCGCCCAGACTGGAACAGTGTGGAGAGAAGTTGCTGTGGGTTTGTGTGATGTCATGAGGTCACGTTGTCCCCGGAGTTAAGGGCAGGTTTATAGGGACTGTAGAGTGGGAATGAGGCAGAGGGAGGGCTGGAGGGTGCCTCCGGTGTCTGACTTGGAAGCAGAAAGCAAGCCAGGTGGGCCCAGTGAATCTAGTTTCCAGTAAAACGTGTTCTCACGGACTGCTACCGGGGTGTTTGCCGCACTGATGCTGTCCTTCCTTCATCTGGCAGAACAGGTAGGTCACCGTCTGTCACAGTGTTTTCCTGGGAGACAGTAGGGTATGGTGGGGACAGGCTGAGATTTATACTCAGCTTGGTCCTGTATTTATTTGCACTGTGACCTGTGCAAGGTTTGGTCTCTCTGAGCCTCATCTATAAAACAGAAGTGCCACTCACCTGCCTTACAGGGTTGTTGCATGTGAGCCACCTGCCACAGACCCCGTAGCACTCTGCAAACATTACTCACATTTTCCCTGCCCTTCTGTTCTTAGGACCTGGGAACTCAGACTGTGATTAGAGGGCTTTGGTGCCTGTCTCGGCACTTCCTCTGTGGCTCCACCATTAGACCTTTTAGATCAGGAACTGCAGATGTGAAGGACGGACCCTGAAGCAGGTATTAGGTTCACAGGGAGTCATTCCCTGTGGGTGGCAGTACTGATCCCCTGGCAGCCCCACTGTGGGGCGGAACCACCAAGAAGCCTACAGCCGGCTTCTCTG